CTGGGTCTTTCTCAGACAGGTTACTACTCATCTTTCTTTTCAATGCACTTTCCATTGTAGTTCTTTGTACTCACCCTTTCTGTCACTTTTCTCTGAGTACTGAAGTTTTTATATGATTTATGGGCATAATGACCAGAAATCATCAGTGTTCAAGGTGAAGCTATACTGTTGACTCGTATCGCTACATTGTACCACTACAATTTCTTCATTACTGTTTTCAGCTGTATGTTGTTGTTGTTGTTGATTTCTAAATTCATACAGTTGTCTCTTTCAATTTGTTCCTTCTCTGTGCTCTACAGTTAAATTACAGCTGATAGTTCAGCTGATAGTGAAGCTGATAGTACAGCTGATAGTGAAGTATACTTTCTAAGAATGTTACCTTGTATTTATGAACAGGGAAGCTCTTTTTTCATAAACTCTCTGCTCTAGATACTTGAAAATCATAGTACTCATATTGACTATGTTAAGTATATTACATGATTTTGAATCCTCTGTAATTTTTCATCCAGATCACCAGCAAATATTCCAGCATTCCAACAGTCAGCATCTCATTTCTTTGTCAGTAACTCCACATCTTCCTTCATGCTCATCTCCTTTTATGCTATATCATCAGCCATGCAAATTGAACCTTTTGGAGTGCAGAGATACAGATATGGAAGTGTTCCAAGGCCTAGTGTTAAAGGCAGCAGCTTTGCCAACTTTCTTTATTGCTGTTCATGATGAAAGTATGTGACAAAGAGAAGCAGCTCCTGTGCTGTTTCTGACAAAGGCATCAAGTTGTTACCTTTGAAGCAAGAAAGGCAGGAATGACCTCTCCTATAAATCACCTCTTGATAACCATTAGTATGAAGTCTGGATGTATTTCTTTTTAGAACATTAAAAATAACCTGGGCAATTTATCTTACCTGAAAAGGAGGGGAAGACTAGGTGGTCTCAAGAGGTAGCAATTTTGCTTTTAGGAAGAGAATGAACATTTTATCAAATATTTTCTTGTAGTAGTCCATTGATAGCAAAACGAAAGTTATGATTTTGTAGTTTTTAAATACAGAAGAGATCTTCAGTATTACTTGTTAGATATTTTACATCAGTTGGCGTGGATTACCTAGACTAGAATGCCTATGCCTCTAAGCATATTGATAATGTAACTGGCACAGATTACTAGAGGGTATCTCCTCAGCTGCAAGAGTAACTGAAAACACTAAAATGTACATTCTCTTTAGCAAGAAAATCAAAGCAAATTCAGTGTCAAGGAGTTCAGTGCAGTAGGTAAGGGTTACTCTTTAAAAGATGATATACAGTTATGAGATGCTGATTCAGGAAGGTAAGGCTTGCTCATTCAAACAATACATTGTTTTTCTGGTTGGTTCAGGACTGTAGAGCAAATTCTCACAGAAGCTAAAGCTAATTAAAACTTACAATATCTTCTGCTTCAAACACCAGCAAGACTTCTGACTTTGATCTTGGTAGTGTAAAAAAATTACTGCTTAAAATGGAAACAAACTAATTCCATGGTGCACTCTAATGCACATATAGTTCTTTTCTCCATTAAAGAAAAAGGAGAAATAAAAAACATGATGACTAAATTTAAGGCAACAACAAATGTCCCACTTAATCTCAGCAAGCTGTAAGCTTTTCACAAAGACATCAAAATTAAGATTTTGAGTTTTCCTACAGAATTGTCAATGGTAAAAATAATGTAATGATTCATGCTCTCGTGACAAAATTGTCACTGGAACTACATTTCTTTTAGATAAGTCTTACAATGGATTGAAATAACTGAGCATTTAAAGCTGTTTTTCACTGATGAGAATTCAGTTAATATAGTGGTGAATGCTTTCTAAGAAACCATATAACAACCATTTAGAAAAGTTCATACACCTGAACGATGTGAGTTTAAAAGAGCTACTGTAACCTAGGACATTCTGCAGAATGCATTTATATACTGCAGCATCCCAAGGGACAATGTTTAAACAGCAGCTTTGCAAGTTCTTTGAGCCTTCCTACATGAGGCAAACAAGTGAACAAGTAGCTCATATACGGTCTTGGACAAAGAAGACAAGTTGTTAATTTCATTCTCCGTGCAGCAGCAGAAAGGACAGGAGTAAAGCAAAACTGTGATATGGAGAAAATCAATAGCATGTGTTCTGAATGTGTTTCATTCTTGAACATTTTAAATTCGAAGATTTATTTCCTAACATCTTCACCTTTATAGGCTATAATACTGTTTTCACTTCAAAGGGCTTCACTGATTTGACTTGTTTTATTTCAGTCAGTCTTTTGGATACAGTGTTCCACTTTTCTATATAAGGCTCAAATATTCCTGTTTAATCTTTAATAGCAGGCATTAATGATGAATTTAGGTTTTCTAGACAACAGAAGATTTTCAAGCAAGTGGCTTCCTTACTAAGTTTACCTTTTGCCCAGGCTAGATGATAGAATGAACAATGTGTTGTTTCTCAAGTAAACAAGCTCATTAAAGTTCAGTTAAAACTCAAAAATATGGACTGTAAAATGGATGTATGCATTCACTGTGAAATGAAACAGGAAGCTATATAGATACATTTGCTTCAACTGTTATAACACTGAAGAGAATATCAGCCATCTGAAATAGAAAAAGTGCCTGTGGCATAAGAACAGTAGGACTCTGTTCCTATGTGTTTTGTTTCACAGTATGTCAAATTATTGTCATGACACAGACTAATATTAACGAAGAATGTCTTTGTGCAGCACTACAGCCTTTTGCTATGGAGTTTTGAATCACCTGCAAATTGGTGTGTCAATTTCTCTTGAAGAAGTAATAGAAGACATACCCTGCAGCCATGAACACATTCCAGAAGCTTTTTCAGAAACAGTCTAGTGCAATAAATACAATATTACTGTCCTAAAAAAGGGTGATTTTCACAGACACAACGCACAGACTAGAAGTGCTTGAAAAATAAGCGGGTAAAAATATATGTATATAACATTTGCTATAAGAGCATATCTTTTTAATAAATAATTGATAATTGATTAACCAGGGAAAACCTCTATACTGCAAAGATGCTAGTGCAAGAACTCAACTATATATTTGGAAATCCTGATTATATCTACTACTGTCTCTATAATAAATTAAAAAAGAAAAAGTAGTTTATGTGCAAAGCTATGTAGGCTAATTTATCAGGCAGTTCTGACTTGTGTTAAAAAGGACTTGCTTATCTCTGTTCATAAAGATGATAACTGCATGAAAATCCTTTGTGCCCATTTCCTCCACGATAAATAAGGGACTGAAAATGTCTAGAGGTAGTCACAGGTTTTGGTAGATATTCTGTAACTGAATTAACTTTGATAGGTTCTATCCAGAAAGCCTTGGAGGTTGAAGTATTTTCATTTATCTACAGCATAGATTTAATACAGATAGCAGGAGTCTAATAACTCCCCATGTAATTACTCATTTGCCTCAAACACATCATAAAAGTAAAATTGGATTTAAACTTGAGGCTTTTTTGTTAACACAGGACAGTGTTGTTTGTGTTAATGTTTTGTAGCTGACCTCAAATGGGATTAGGTTTTGTTTTCACTTGGGATGTGAGACATCATTGAAACAGTAATGACTTTCACTCTGTATTGTTTTTAAATTTGAACGTTTGCCTTGAAGAAAGAATCATTTTCTTCATTTGCACTCAGTCAGTTTTTAGATTACTTGTACTTTGGATACACTGGAAAAGCAGAAGTGTAGCTAAACTTCTTTTTGTGATATGGTTTTGATATTATACTAATAATTCTAATCACATCACAACTGATGGTGGTGTGATGTGGTTAATTTTCACTTACTGGTAACACGAGCATTATTTGTCACTTTTATTTTGAACAGCCACCAGTCATTTTGATGTACTTTTTAAATAAACCTCAGAGCAACCCACCACTGGTTCCTTGCTGATTTCTTTAACTCGGCTAACTTACACATTCATAGAATTGTTGAACATCTTGTACTGTTTTAAAGCATGAGATTTGGAACAGATCCTCTCACCTCCAGTCCTAAAAGAAACATCTGGGGAAAAAAAAAAAAATAAATCAACCATTGCTTTTCTTTTGTGCAGAAATCTGTTTTAGACCAGTAATGTTACAGAGAATTCTTTAAGTTTAAAGCAGATACAAAAAGGAAAACCACAGTGAAGGTAAGGTATGATATCAGGTATTTCAGACATAGGTCTTATCATATACATGCCTTGTGTATGTTTTATTCACTTTGCAGAGCCACCACCTGATTTGCTACAACTGAAAGACTTTTCCTGAGACATGAGTACTCATCTGAAGTAGCTGGCATATTGCAGGTTAGATATATATTACACTGGCAGAACTTAAATTGCATGCTTATCCTCAGCATGAACCAAATACTGTCCTTGAACGTGCATGAAAAGTATCCTACTAAGTTCTGTAAGAGCTGGTAATTCACTGTTAGGAGCACAAAATGCCTCCATCTTGCCTGGAATTTTGAAATTTGCTTATTATTATTCTCATCATTATTAATGATCTAAAAGGGAAGAAAAGTTTTCTTCAGGAAACTTCCTCCATCTAAGAACATTAAGATCAATGGGAATTAATGATAACTTGGACTATCTAGAATTTTTTTTATTATCTTTAATGTAACTCTTCATTTACAGCCTGATACTAGAGCATATGAATGAAAAAGAGTTTATAAAACAAATGTGATGTTACAGAAAAATATACTGGTACAGAAAAATATGAATTTCATGATTGAATGTAATTCTATGAAATTTTAGAGCAATTATAAATAAGCTGTAATACATTTGTATGCTTAAGAGTTTCAATTTGATAATAATGAAGCTAATTTAAAATGTCAAATAGATTCCAAAATACAGTTTTATTAGTTAAAGTAAAATAATGAAACATTAAAATTTTAAATATCTAAGAAAGTGGGTAATAAACTGATATTTATTTAATGGAAAAATGTATTAATGGTAAGTGTCTTTATCTAGGGCTAAGAATTATACTGACTGGATTTCATTCAGATAGAGAATCAATATACCATTAAAATCTATTCCAAGAACATACTTGTCATCATAGAAGTACACTAATATTTTGCTGGTTCTCTGAATAAAACAAAATACAGCTCATACAGCTCCTCAAGTTCTGGGTCTACACACATTTTAGTATGAGTTTAAATTTATGCATGAGGATCAACTTGGTGAGATTCATGGGTGTAATTATATTCTTTACCCTTAAGTGATTTATGCTCTGCATCTTGCAGATAGTTTTCCATGAAATACAGAGCATCATCCCACTGTCATAAGTTACTGTAGGTCAATGGGGATAACATCAAATAAATAATGATTACTGAATCTTCAGATCCACTTGCTAGACAGCCACCAGTTTCTGTGCATCACTTGTCCCATCTTCAAATAAAGAAAGTACTATTCATGTCCTTTAAAATCTGTGGACAGAAAAATGTGATAGAAGACTAAGTGTGCCATTAATTTAATAGCAGTACATTTTCCTTTTTTTTTTTCCCCCCGGTCAAACACTTGCATTAAGTCTTTTACTACATTAAAATGTAATATAGGTTTTTATATAATTTAATCAGAATAATTTTGTAATTTTGTCTCTTTGACACAACAGAACATGAAGATTACATGTAGCTGCAGAAGATTAACTGACTGGAAAGAAAACATCACAAATGCTATTAAAAGAGAAAGATCAAGAAAATACACATTCCCAGAAAGATTTTTATTTTACTTCTGCATAGATACAGAAAAAAACAAACAAAGAAGAAACAAACAACAATTAGCAATACTTAAAAATATTCTTTCAGTGGCAAAGCCAACCAAAGGAGAGCATTCCAGGTAGTACTGTGAGTGCAAGAAAGAATGATGATTTGAATGTTTCTGTTTTTGATCTAAAATCTCATGTATTTTCTTAATTTGTTTTGAAGAAGAATGACAGCCAAAGAAACAGCAACATTTATGCAGCAGCAGTCATTTGTGGTTTTAGCTGTATTTTGCATAATAAGTGACAATTTACTTCAGGACTCGGTGTTTCAGACCTGTTCAAGAATATATTATGAAATGAATAATCTTGTGCACAGTATCACAAAAAATACAATGAAAAACAAACCTGATTTACAGAACTCATAGAGCCTACTTACTCAGTTTTGGTGAAGTTGGCAGATTACAAGATGTGTTCTAATTTACTGATAAAATAGTTCTACTATGAGAGTTTTTCCATAATTGACTTCAAAATTGTTAATCTCTTACAGTCGTGTAACAGGAGCGCAGCTGGTCAAGAAAGACTGGCACTTGAAGTAGCTCTTCTAAGCTTTGCTCTGAGTCAAATACCCACTTCATCATACTTGCACTGCTGATTTCACTGTCATCAAAAGCCATTGGGCAAATAAAACTTTTGCAGGTGATAGAAGTAAAACACTGAAAAAGATGTCCTAAGACATTATAAACTTTCATTTCTCTGTTCCTCCATTTACTTACGAGCAATGGAAGAGTAAGAATACATCCCTATCCTTTGAAGGCTTACTTGAATTGCAGGTTTGAATAGGATGCAGAAATCCCTGTTTGCAACCAGGGAGCTCTAATGTCATGATAAAAATTCAGATAGCTCAGTTCCGGAGTGAAGCTGCATTTGCAGAAATACCTCAGGCCCTCTCAGAAATGCTGAGTGCACATAATAATATTGATGCAATTAAACCACATTTAATTTTGGAGCAGGCTTTGTTAACACTTTATGCTAACATCTCCATGCTATTCCACTTCTTCGAATAGACATACACTTGCACAGGCATCCCTAGGTAAGAGAGATTGAAGGGCTAGTACCTGAAAACGACATTAAATTTCTTTATGGCAACGAGGTAATCCAGAAAGTTGTGAGTCAAGAGTCTTCTTTGTCTCTGAAGCCATTATGGAGCAATATAAAAAAATAACATAGACAAAAATAAAAATCTCATTGATACGATTTGGGGGTCAACACATGGCATAGTAAAACAAAAGTGTTCAAACAAACTAACAGCATATAGTTCATTGTAAATATATTAAAAAGAGTATGTGAGCATCACTGAATTTCCAAAGCATTCAAAAATCTCTAAAACTTGAAGTACATCTGTACTTTAAGAGCAAAGGCTGAGAGCCTCAGACCAACTGAACTTACAGCCCAGGAGAAAGATCCTCTGGAGAATAACTTACGAGGAAAAGAAAAATGTTGTATTTAGTGGAAGCGTGGAAAGGTCACAGAGGAGCAGATGTTTTCTATTGTCAGTTATACATACTTAAAGCAAGATGAGTAGCCAACAGGGTTTGTGTATGGTTTATACTGGCAGCAAGTAACGTAATAATAATGGCTTATAACAGTGATTCATTGCCAGGGTAGAAGTACTCTTCTTCTGCTGGTTTTTTTTTTTTTTTTTTTAAACATAGCTCATTTGCAGTTATCTTAAACATGCTTGCATGCTGTGTGAGAATGCATCCATTATGATGTGAGCATACTCTAACATAGTGGAAAAGATTAAATATTCACTGTTCCTCATATTTATGACAAATGTTTCAAGGTTTCTCAAGGCAAAAATTTGCACACGGCCAACTTTGAACTATTTCTAGCTGCTTTGTTTTGAGTGATCCGTTGTTTACTTGCAGTTTATATTGCTTTATTTGTAAGGAACAAGCTATCAACACTTTTGCCCTATTTCCAAACATTAAATAAGAAGAGTTGTTAATAAGATATTTCTCTTTTGAGTTTTCAGGTAGTAATACTTAATTTTCCTATATTGAAATTTAAGAATTCAGAAATGTAATGAAATAGAATATTCTAAGTAACATGATTGCAATTAATATAAAGCTCATTACATACATTTATAAAATGCCATAAGCAATCTGTATTTTGAGAGGACAATTGAAACCTATTTTTGAGACAATTTTCAATTCACAGAACAAAAAAATAGATGGAATTTTAAAGATTTCAGATTCACTGATCCTTCAAAGCAGATGTCCTCGAGTGCAAGGTGAAAGAAGAGATTAGAATTGTTCTTAGGATACTAGAAATGATCTGCAAATGGTGTGGGTTCATGTTAATGACAGTGCTCCTAGTTAATGACAATTTAAATATTTCTATTACTATTTTCTTATTTTGTCACAAGAAAAAAACACACTGAAATTCCTTTAGTATCACAACTATCAACAAAAATGTAAATTTTTTTCCTCAAGAGTGAGAAACAGAAGAAAACTGGTGGCACAGTAAACTACATTTTTAAAGCCTTTAGAAATGTACGTAATACATAATTATCAATACATGGGTTTGGATATGTTTCCTTGAGGCTGCGAGAATGGCTGCTTACCATCTGCAATAGCTGCTATTCCTGTACACAGAGTAAGCCCAGCTGACTGTTTAACAGAGCCTCTTAAATTGTGCTAGTAAAGCATTAAATCACATTCTTTTTTTATTAGAAAACATGGGACGTACAGGAATCTAAAAATAACTGGGGAAAAAAAATAGGTTTTGAAAATCCCAAACAGATTTTTTTTGGTTGTTTGTTTTACAAACAGATTTTACCTTTCTTCATAAATAGAATTATTCACTACTCACAAATACAGTAAAACTAGGATTTCAGCTGAGCCTTCAGAGGAACATCTAGCCAGTAAGCTTTGCTTATGCTGCAGACAGCTACCCTGAGGAGTGATTTGAATTTAAATGTGGCTCCCTTATTAGTTTCTGCTAACTGCAAATATCCCAGGCTCTTAATTAAGTGGCTGAGTAATGTATGAATGCTCACTTCTGCTTGTCATGCAGAACAAAGCAATGTATTTAGATTCCATGCACAATATGAAATGTAATGACACAGGCAACAGTAATTTAGAAAGCCTTTTATTTTTTATTATCCTTGTTTTGCTAATCTCCCACTCTTTTTTTTTTTTTAAACTTGGAGATGTTTAATGTTTGGCTGCTCCAGTGTCACAAATATTTGCCCAAACACTGGTCATTATCTAATGAATTTTTAGATTAAAAGGAAACATACATTACTAAATACATAGTGTAGAGATAAGTTGATAATTTGGTTATAATTTTTATTTGCTTTTAAGGACTTCTTTTTATTACACCATATACCAGTTCAGAATAGGCTCTGGACAGTATGTGTTACTTGTTATATTTAGATTTCTATCTGCCTTAGGCAGTTATCTACTTGGACAACAATACTAAAGCTCTACTCACAGCTCTGAAACTCTTATTAATATTTTGCAGAACGGTCCAATACAGAAATATGGTTTGGGAATATGTTTTATCTCATTTGTCTTTAGCCAATTTATAAAAATTAGACATGCATTCATGGTCAGTTCTTGAGCTAAAGAATAAAGAGAAATTAATCCCAGAATATTTGACACATTTTAGGAGAGCAGCAGTTGCCTTCTGAAAGTGCCTACCTCTCTCTGCACTGACCACAGAGGGAGTTTGATTAATTAATTTAGACTAAATAATTTTTATGTAAAACTCTTCTAGAAATACCTTATTTATTGTTGTTGCTAGCAAGTATTTGAAGAAGGTTAAAAAAGAAAAAAGATGAAATCCATCTCACACTCCTTGATGGTGAAGTTAAAACTAGAGAAATGTAAATAAGTTAAAAATTCTATGTAGAACACTGTCACTGAACTGTATCCTGTCAGAAAAAAATAAAAAAATGGCACTATGATATAACTGTTCTTGTCCATGTAAACAGCTTGTGGACTTTGGCCCTTGGTGACATATATGTTCCTTCAGATCAACGCAACTGCAGGAAAAAAAAAAAACTTTCTTTCACCTTACATGCTGAAAATAGAATTAGAATAACTAAATAGACCGTAAAATAATTAAATGGAGAACAAAATTTTCATTTTCAATGATATAAATACAGACAGAAAAGATAACTTTAAAACTGTTAACTAAGTAATTTTATCTACGTTTGAAAAATAGATTAATGAGAAGTGAAGTGTTTGAGGACTTGGTTTTACTCTGGCAGTTATTCTTCATATTATTCATCCTTCTCTAAACCTGGCCATAATTCTGAACAGTGATGAAAAGCACAATTTGATAATGTCCAGAAAAAAAAATAATAGACTAAACTTCCAACCCATATATTTTCTTTGTTTTAGTCTCCACCATAAATTTATTATCATTTTATGAAATTATAAAAATAAAAAAAAAGCATATGAAGAATAAATTGCTGCAAAATTCCTTCTAGTAACAATTTATTAGGTAATTTATCTCAGATCTGTTTACATAAAGAATCTTATTTCTTGTGTATTTGATTTGTCATTACAAGCTACAACCATATTACAGAATTTCTAGGATGATTTTATAAATATACTCATTCCCTCAGTCAAGTTTTAATATCAGGGTGTAACACAAGTGTTCCAGCCCTACTATCCTTTTTTACTGCAATGAATTTAGGCAAGAAACATCAATTATTTTCAAGTTAAAACAAATTAAATCTGCATAGGAAGATTTAAGGTCTGATTGGATCAGAAAATATGAACCACTGTTTTCTTGCACTGTTTCTACAGAACTTGATTCCTTTGCACATCTATATCTCTCTTGGAGTCAAACTGTCCTACCAATTGTGGATTTCTATAATTGACTATGAAACTCAAAGTAGCAGAGGAATTAAAAAGAGTAAGGCCTAGGAGGCAACTTGACAGCACATCTTGTTGACACTTCTTTCTGTAACTGGTTTGAGTCTTTTTTATTGGATTTATTCAAGCTCAGCTTACATTGTGATGCTTCAACTATTAGAATTACAGCTAAGGTGGATCCAAACTGTTGAAAAGATCCTAGTTTCCTCCAGAAGGAACACACAGTTACGGCCTAATTTCAGTTGATTTTTTTCTGTTTCTGACAATCTAGCAGCATTTTAGAGTATTAATTAAATTATAACCTCACAAGAGACAAGACATTTTCTTACATTTATACTTACCTCTATGATATCTAATCCTATCACATATGTTTAAGTGCTACTTCTAAACACAGTATATGCGGTTGAACAGTTAAATAGACTTAATTGTCATCAAATGAGTTATCTTCATAGAAGGAATGTGAGTGGTTCCAAAAAAATAGGTCCATGAACAAGCCAGAGGTCCCTTTGGAGATAAGCAATGCACTACCACATGATGCTTCCACAAAGGCCAGCATTTTGAACAAGATGTCCTTCTGATAGAAAATTGAAGTGACAAGAGTTCAAGTTTTCTTTCATTGAGTGGCTACCAAACAGAATGAAAGGCTGCCAGCTGGGCTGTTATCTTTTATGTGGCCTGAGATCACTCCATGACTGAAATAACTTCTGAAAGGCTCCCCTGCCTGAGACTCTGATAAGTCCAGAATGAAGAGAATTTGACATCAAAATTAGCAAAAAAGTTGGTCCACTGATGTTCAAAAATCATTAAATCCTCAAAGAAAAAGTCCTCCGAGGAAACATTCAAAATTCAAACCTTCAAAAATTCAAAAAAATTCAAAAACCAACAGAATCTTAGGTATTAAGTAAACATATTTTAGCCACATGTTCCAGAGTAAGTAATTTCTTCTGTTGGAGGGACCCAAAACTGAACAGAGTATCCAAGATGTAGCCTCACTGAATCTGAGTACTGGGAGACATTACTGGACTATCCTTTAACTGGTAGCTAATTTAACATGTAATGCTTGGATACCTCTGCAGTGTTTGCACTGTCTCTAGGTAGATCGCTTTATTCAGGAAGTGATGACAAGAGAGAAAATAACTGGAGAATATTTATACAGTCAACACTTATGCACTATAGATGGTCTAAATTTTCATGCTACTATGTAGGTTGCTCCAAAAGTAATGTCTTATATTTATTTCCATGGAAACTACAACAGGTACAAAGGGCACAATAACACTATTTGATAGAGCAAATTCTCAACTACAAGACACTCTTTTTCAACACTGAGATCACCATTAGATGTGTATTTTTGTCAGCAATGAACAAAAGCTGGCATGCTGTGCTCATAAAAATGTGCACCAGAGGAGGTGACGCACTATCACTGTCGCCACTGATGAAATGCATCACCCACTACCTCACTGTACACACATCCACTGTATGGTGCCCATAAATGTTCAGCAGTTTCAATGGATGTGAATGGGTGCCATTTTTCCCACATGAAGAAATTCAGTTCCACATCTTTGCTTCAGATGGATTTCCATATCAGACATCATTTTGTCAGACTGCTCACATCTGTTGCATAGTAACAATATTTAGTGAAATATTGTTGGGAAGGTTCAACCTCTATTCCCATATCACCAACATCCACCTCTCAATTTGTGGGCCAACATTAAAAAAAAATATAAATAAAAAAATAGGAGGCATTAATTTTGGATTAGCCCTGGTAAAATTACTCTGAGTGCAGGTAGTCCACTCAGGAATTCAACTGGATCTTTCTACATAAATTCATCTCTTTCTTCCATCCAACATAGTACTAGTAACTTCCAACTATTTTTTTTTTAATTTTTCTCCTGTAGAACTAAAAATCTTCCTGCTAAACTGGAAGTGTCAATACCATATTGATTCTTTTTCCATTATTGAGTTATGGGAGATTTTGTTTTGTGTTAATTAGCACCATTGCTAATGTTACAGGAATGGCATCATGAATAGCAGAACTGCAGATAACCAGAAAATAAAAAACTTCCCCCTGCACTATTTGCAGTTTGTAAGTGAAACTCTGCAGTTTAAAATATGCCCTCACTATACTTTGCTGTCACAAATCATTAGATTCAAGAAAAACTTCTTAAAAACATTAGTCTGTGACTGTCCTAAGAACATTCCTGTTACAGAAGCCTCAAAAAGTCTAGCATGTAGAATTAAAAACATCTTTCAGTACTGACGAGAGATAACATTAGAGTTATATGTTATGAGCTATATCTATGTGGCAACATACCTGTTCTATGACCTGATGGATATTTGACAGCATGTTGCTATTCTTTTAACTGTATATAGTCTTGACATACTCAATCTTAAAGGATATTACTATATATGTTATAATAATATAATAAAAATATTCATAATATTTTAGTTATATATGTCATATATAAATGTATGTTTAATAATCATGAATCTATATAACTTCCAAAACTAATGGACACAGATATACTTTGCTTAATTAGCAGGTCTCCCTAGGTTGAAATGGGTAGAAGTGACAATAGCACATATATCCAGTCATAAACTGGATTTGGCTAGTCATCTAAGTAAATCTGCTGCTAAGGATATCATTATCTGAGCTCGGATTGTTAACTAAGTATGTCAACACATTCTACAGTCCTGACAGGAATTGCAGGGTAAACATAGTTAGCATAGGTGGTACTGGCAAAACTGCTTAATAGAAGCTGCTGAAAAAACAAAATCTCTTCCACAACTCACTGCTAGACTAATTCTGATTTTGAAACACAGAAATATTTCATTGCAGTAATGCCGAATACTTTTGATTTAACAGAAATGAACATTAAAAGTATGTGAAAGTTCCCTGAAATCTCTTCCTGTCCCCTGTAATTTGGTTCTGTGAGACATTTCAAAATTGTAGACTCAAATTTATATGTATGGATTTTCCCCAAGTAAAGGAATATCCAGAGGGATACATTTCTGTAAGACATCCTGAATCTGATGACTGCCACTCTTATGTCAGAATGAATATATGTTTTATAAATCCTTACTGAGCAATAGAACATGGTCTATTAACTCAAGGATAGAGCATGTAGACCAATATATACTTATAAACATTATAAGATAACAAAAGAAGCATATGTTAATATGCTTAAAAACATGTAGCAAATGTGTGATCTACCAAGCTATAGTTGCCATTGAAAGAGAATAACACAAACACATACATACACACACACACACGCACACACACACACAAAAAAAAAAAAAAAAAAAAAAAAAGGAGCAAAATATTCTGTTCTTTTTAAAGCATGTAGCATATGCACTCGTCTGCACTTTTATTCTGGGCAGGAAACTGAATCTCTTTTCCTTCAAATGAAAAGCAAAGCAAACCCCCTAAGCAAATCATGAATTCTTAGCTTGCAATTGTCTTAAAAGAAAAGCGGTCAGAGTTCCAGTATTATCTTGTATCCTGCTTTGAGTTTCGGGATTTCCTAATTGTAATACTCATGTAGAATAAGGAACTAATAATAATAATGAAATTTTTTATTCTATTTTTCTTCTTCTGAGATCTTTCCTAGAGATCTGAGAAATGTGCAAAGCATTTGTATTATTATGTTTATATTTACTTAGGAAACAATTTTGGTTTTTCACCAGTAATTCTGCTTCCTGCTGCTGAACTTGGTAGGAGCTGCAAGTATTGAAAAGATTAATAAGGGATTATTTTGAACTATTCCAAATGAAGATCTTCAGAATACGTGTGTATTTATACATACAATAAAACTAGTCTAATATACCAGTGCAGAACAGAACAGATGTATAGTCATGCTTAAAACTACATTCCAGCATAACTTTCTCTAGGAACTGAAAAGACAAAATAAGTATTCTCCTGATTTGATCTCTCCTGTACTTAATTTCTTTCTCGTTCTTTGTACTGAGATATTTTTTACTTCAAGTCAATAATTATTGTGCCTAGTTTCTTTTTACTTCAATGCAATAATTAATCATAATCAATAATGCTACTGCAAATGGAAATCCAGTGATATAATAATAAGTATAAAATGGTGCATGGTTGTTTGAAGAATCTAAATAAGCTAACAGTTTTACTATGGCCCTCCTGAACATTTTGAAAATATTATAATTTGTGCCTTTTTTACAGATGAGGATCATTCATGTTGTACTTCCACCATCCACATACAGAAATCCACACATACACAGTTCTATGAACAGGATTCTCACAAGACAGAGATAAAAATAAAACACTCTCTATTTAACTAGTTATTCATAAAATCTGGAATCTTAATCCTGATGAAACCAAGTCCATCATTCTCTTTAGTAAGTTTGGTTACAATCTCTTTTCACTTTTGTCTGATAAGTGAAAAAAACAAACATTTATTTCATTCTTATTTCATAAATAAAATTTATTTATTAGAAGGTTATACCTCAGTAATCAGTTCACAGGTACAAATCTTCTCACAATATATGAAATCTTCCAGTGACCCTAGGTTTTTTTTTCCACTTGTAAATCACAGGATATATACAATACTATATTAAATGCTGTAATGAAGATGATAAAAAGGGGATAGTATTGTGGAAAACTGCCATTATCTATAATAAACACCTTTTGATTCATTCAGAAAAGATTGTGATGGCTTTGGAAAAAGTGTGTCAAATATTTTTTTTCTAAAAAGACAAGAATTTTGTGAATTCTATTCAATATTTTGCACCTAAAAAAAATTATTATGCTTAAACTGTTATGCTTATTATGCCCTGGAGATATTCAAAACCAGGCTGGATATAGCTCTGGGCAGCCTGGTATAGAGATTCATGACCCTGAATACAGTAGGGGTTGAAACTAGATGATCATTGTGGTCTTTTTTAACCCAGGCCATACTATGATTCTATGACTCTATGATTAAAACTAGATTTTATTTAATGCGTTGGTGCAATAAGAAAACAACTCAAACCCCTTTAGCTCACATTAAAGAAAAATGCAGTTTTGATACTCTTCAAAAGATTCGATAATAAACCAGTATATAGTTTATGAACAAAACAACCTACTAAGTAATACAAAGACTTTGACCTCAATCGAGTTATTAAGACAGAGCTCTCAGCCGAACTTTAATTCACTGTTGCCTTCTTAAAACACAATTCTACTCTGTATGCTGTTATTATGAAGGACAAGAATTTCACTTACCTTTCAGTTTTCATGTTTGCAGTCCAGCATTGAGGAGTTCATCAGTCTGACTGGTAGAGTATTTCATACATAAATATAATAACCTAGGAGATTTATAAGAAAGCATCAATACAGATGCAAGAAATATCCACATCAATTCAGAAGCATACTTCATGCTGAATAAATGCTCACTCCAGGGCTTATTCCACTAACTTATTTCAGTAACTCATTAACACCTACTGTTAGTGGAGCCGAGTCAGGAGAAGTAATATCCAATCCTTTTTGGGTGAATTACTATTATTAAACTCATTTCAGATAAGAATTTTTCAAATCAGAGTTAAAAAGTGGTGCTGTAACTAAAGAAGTAGTCCTGTTAGGACAGGCAGTTATATTGGGGTTAACAGCTAGATCTCATTCACACTAATTGGCTAATGATTTTGACTGTGTTGAAAAGCTTTAATTGTTTTATAGCTGAGAATTTGCGCTATTAAATAATGTACTTCTTTGTATCTCTCATAGTTTCTATGGAAATAAATAGAAAGTATTACTTTTGGAGCAACCTACTTAATATGTTTTAGAAGGAAAGGCATTATGAAATAATTATAGTTATTAACCAAGTATATTAGCCTGGCTTTTGAGACTAATGAAGTCTTTGTTGCATAAGATGATGAATAGAGAATTATAATCTAATGTGAAAAGAAAGTTTAAATGTAAGATTGAAATAAAATTAAACATTAACCATTCATTTGTGTGAACATACTGAATGCAATGTGATTTCAGTAATATGTCAATAATATGTATTTTAGTTTTTATTTTGTTACAGTCTATTTATTTATTCATTCATTTGCTACATACAGTAATTAGACTTAACATTAGATTTTCTGAAATAATACATTTCTAGAAGTTATGCACAGAATTTGTCACAAGGCAGCACCTACTCCTGGGTCCAAGCACAAGAATTCTATGGGATTAATACTGAAAGGGCAAAATACAAGACATGGGGTGAAATCACATGGACTGTTTAAGGTCTGTTAAAATTAGTCAGATGGAATGTTGAAATTGAATATCCCTGCCTGTAATTTTTCTGTACCTTTAGTATGGTTTTTGTAGAAATAAAAAACACCAAGTAAAGATAAGGTTAAATTAAAAGCTGTAAAAAAGAATAATGCTATTATTTCTATTTTTATTATTATTACTAGGATGAATATTTGCAATTGTTTCCATTCATTCACTTCCCAGCAGGTGTCTCTATACTTCAGCTTTACTGAAAAAGAATGAGGAAGCCAGCTAGTTGCATCAAAATTTCAAAATAATAATAAAATTTTAGAAAAGTGAAATAAACTGTACTATAACGTTGTATGATCCAAAAAAATAGGCTGTAAAGAGAGTCTTGTCCTATGACATTTTAGGTACAGCCATACACACATTAATATGATCAAATATGGGTTTATAAACTAGTGATAAAGAAACAAGAAACAAGAAAATATATTTAAAATGATGCACAGAAAAAGCAGTGCTACAAGAAGTAGAGTTTGAGATTTTTATAAGTTCTAGAAAGATAAGTAATCTTTCCTATTTTCTCATATATAAACTTATAACCTGTCTAACAAGTGCTAGAACTTATCTTCATCAGTAGCTAGAGTTAAAATGTTAAAAGTCTTACAAACAAAATATTGCAAACTTTGCTGGGAACATAAATGTGGAGGTTAATCAAGATCGCATGTATCTGGATGGATTTAAGAAAGAAAATCATAACTAATGAAAGAAAACCTTAGTTATGAATAACAGTTTGTCTTGGCTCAAGGCAGACCACAGTAACCTCATTTCATCTACAACCAGATTTTAAAATACAACTTTTTATCACATAATTGGCAAAGTATAATCTTTTTAGCTAAATAAAATTTATGTTTACATGGATCCCAGCTGCATTTCTGCATTGATCGAAGTGTAATGAAAAAATCTGACTTAATGTATAAAAAGCCTAGAATTCTGCTTTACATTTGGTTTTAACTGCAAATTTCATGGACAAGAGCACTTTGAGATGAATAACTGATGATGCTGAGAAGTATCTAAAATTCCTTATGGATTGCACAATCTGGAATTAAATCTCTGCAAAGTTGTATTTTAAAGTCTTATTGTTCACAAGGACTCAAGGTGAGTAAAAGCTAATACTCCCCAGTTTGTCCATTAATCTATAGTTCACTGAGTATTTGATAAGAACTCTATGATCCATAAAAAAGGAAAAACATGACAAGTTTTATTGATTGTCTCATAAAAATGGTAAAAAAGTGATGGATGACAGACACAGTTAGAACTTTGCAGTGAGCAGTTACATTATTCATGGTATATTAGCTATAATAATTTGTATTTTCAGCACAGGAACAGGAAGTGATATAATACCATACAACGTGTCATTTGCATCTGATCCACAGTCTGCATTAATTCTTGTCTCCTGTGCAACCTCGAATGCAAGGCAGTGCGTGACATTTACATTCTTACTCCCTATGTATTTTATTTATAGACTCTCACTGTTCAATATTAGTTATAAAGATTCTCTCAGATCTCAGGACCTACTCAAAAACAAAAGACTTTGGCCATAAATCATTGTGTGACTGTGGTTTTCCTGCCACATTAATCCTTAAACTTTAAATATAAGAGCAGAGAGTAGAATGTTGAAAGTTAATGACTCAGAGAAGACCTTTACCTCACAGTGCTGTCAAAATACAGAAGTTTAAAAGTCAAGCTGGGGAAACAATATTCTGTGATAGAACAAAGCTGAGAGTAGCTTGAGGGCTTCAACATAGACACACAGACTTTGGACATTTATCTCCAATCTTTTTTTGCTATATTTCTGTCATAAACATTTACTGTGCTTTCAAAATCTCTGCTAGAGATTACATCCATAATTGCTAATATTCAATTGATAAAATAGTATTCATCTGTATAACAGGACTATCATGATCACTGAAAGAAAAGCTGGGAAAAACTTTTGTGGACTCAGTTGCATAGTAGACTTGATACTTGCATACTTGCCAAAGATGACTTATTTGTTGAACTGACTTCTGAGAGTTTTACTGTGTACTAAATAAAAAGGGTTTCTATCTTCAGTTACAGCACTCAAGAGTATACATGCCAAGTCATGCTTATGTTAAATATTTGCTGAAGTGCTTTTCTGAATCAGAGCCATAATTGCAGCAATTTGTTTAGATCATACTGTGGTTTCTTAAAGGAATACAAATTCCAGAAGGAATGACGATTTTAAAAGTCAGCATTTGTTTTTTAGAACTTTTTCTTGGTAATAGGATTTATTTCCATCCTCTTCAAATATTCAACATGGGATGGTGTAAACCTGAGTACACAATACTAATATTAAGTTATAAATTCTATTTAAAAAGCAGTGTTTCTGCTACATATCCTTCTTTAAAGATCCCATGCCACTACTAAGTAAAGTTATCACATTCTTTGGAAGTGTGACCTGAAAATTAGCCAGTGAGCAGTTAAAATCAATGCTTTCCAGCACTGTCATTCTGAACCTAGTCAAGTATTCAAATATATTATCTTCCAGACTACATAAGGCCAACCAGACATGCAGAAACTCTGTAGAAGGAGAAGACAGGAGACAAAGGATGAAATGACTGCCTGTCAGCCCTGGGAGTTGTGCAGGATCTTCCCTCTGGGGCAGTTTCTCAAGAGTGTTTGTTCTCTTCTGCCTTCTTGACTAACTGAATGATTGAGCTTCTGGACATCCATTTGCTGGAACAAATCATCTTATTCTGTCCTGCCAGTGAATGAGCAGGTGGCAGGGACGACACAGTGCCAAGTAGCAGGCTACAGTCAGCATGACCTATTTTATTTTATTTTTTGCATAACACACAGCCATTACAGAATCTAGCACACTTAATCATGCACTTCACGTAATTGCACATTGCTCATGTGTCAGCCCTGGCTGAAACAAATCCTACCTAAGTATCATTGATGTAGTCTAATTGACTAGAAAGTCAAGGGGCAGTGAAAAAGATCAATGGTGGAGAAGATTTTTGTTATCACATTATTTTTTTACTTACTATCTGCTTGGTATCTGTGAAGATGTAAGCTTTGAAAATAGCATAGAAAGTAGAACTGTGAACCACTTAACCTAGAATGATAGAGTTTACACTTCACATGAGAATTTTCATAACACATATTATACTTGCATAGAGCTACATGGAAATCAGTAGACTGTACACTGATATAATTTGTAGATGAACCACTTCATATAGAACCCATTCAACCTAAGGAAAGGGCAAGATAATCTGTATTGCACACGCTCAGAAAAAATTATATATAAGACTGAGGATGAACAGGGACAGCTGTGGAGATGAGCAACATTTTGTATAAGCAGCGTATTTATTGAGATTTGGTTCCTTTAGTTCTCTCAAACTCAGTTTGAATTAGGCATCTATTTTAATGGCCTTCTAAAATTTCTTTCAAGTATTGTATGAATTAAGAGTGCTAGGAATGCATTCTTAATGCTGAATCCTCTTTGTCAGCCTGCTTATTCAGAGAAGTTGCTAAAACTGTACTACTGAGAAGCAATTAAATGGAAGATCCCTTCCCTTCCCTTCCCTTCCCTTCCCTTCCC